TGCAGACGATATCGTGTTAGTGGATGAGATAAGAGAAGAAGTTAACACAAAGTCGAAGATTTGGAGAAAATCTTTTGAATCTAAAGGATTTCGGATAAGCAAAACTAAGATAGAGTACGTGGAGTGTAAATTTAGTAATATTAACAATGAAAGTAGAGGAGAAGTGAAGATTGAGAACGAAGAACTGCCTAAGAGTGAACATTTTCGTTATGTAGGGTCGATTGTCACAACAGCGGGGGAGATTGATGTGGATGTAGCCCATAGGATTAAGGCGGGATGGTATAAGTAGAGAAGTGCGTCTGGAGTACTGTGCGATAAATGAATACCCACTAGACTAAAAGGTAAGTTCTATAGAACGATTATTAGACCATCGATGTTGTATGGGACAGAGTGTTGGGCAACGAAGAAACAACATATAGATAAGATGAGTGTGACCGAGATGAGGATGCTAAGGTAAATGTGTGACAAAGACTAGACAAGACAGAATTAGGAATGAGTGTATTCGGAAATGGGTTGGAGTAGTACTGATAGAAGATTAAGTTGAGAGAGAATCGATTGAGATGATTTGATCACATTCAACGGAGACCAACAGAGGCAGTAGTGAAGAGATGCGATACTGTAACGGTAGATGAGAGTGTTAGGGGACGGAGTAGGTCTAGATTAACGTTGGCTAGCATTGTAAATAGAGATATGGATCTACTTAATTTGACTAACAAAATGGCTTTTGATAGGGCCGTGTAGAGAAGAAGGATTCATGTAGCCGACCCCATTTGATGAGATTTAAGGCTTGGTTTGGTTTTAAAAGAAAAAGAGTACAGCAAGATGTTCTCTACAAGAGAATAGAGGATATTATTGTTCGGATTTTGTTATTGACTGCCCTTAGTGCACTTGTTAAGAAGCTTAAAATGTTTGTACAGGGTGTGTAACAATGGACATCCAATTTAAACTTTGTTAACCACTGTCCTTGGGGCACTCATTGACCAAACCCTTATTATTATTACTACTGTAGGGTTACACCAAAGATATGTATGAAGGTGTATGATTAGGGATATGTATACAGGTGTGGTGACCACTATTAGATCACCTGCTGGAGAGACAAGTGAATTTTCAATTATTGTAGGGTTACATTAAGGATCAATCTTAAGTCCTTATCTTTTTGCTTTAGTTATAGACGAGTTGACGAGAAATATTCAGGATGATGTGCCATGGTGTATACTTTTCGCAGATGATATCGTGTTAGTAGATGAGATTAGAGAAGGAGTTAACACTAAGTTGGAGACTTGAATCACTTGAATCTAAAGGATTTAGAATAAGCAGAATTAAGACAGAGTACATGGAGTACAATTTTAGTAACAGTAACAATGGAAGCAGAGGAGAAGTGAAGATTGAGAGTCAAGAACTATCTATGAGTGAATATTTTCATTATTTATGATCAATTATCACAACGGTTGGGGAGATTAGAGCGGATGTGGTTCATAGAATTAAAGCGGAGTGGCTTAAGTGACGGAGTGCGTTTGGGATACTGTGCAATAAACGAGTACTCACTAGACTAAAAGGGAAGTTTTATAGAATGGCTATCAAACCAACGATGCTGTATGGGTCAAAATGTTAGGAAACTAAGAAACAATATGTAGATAAGTGAGTATTGCTAAGATGAGGATGCTAAGGTGGATGTGTGGCAAGACTAGAAAAGATAGAGTTATGAATGAGTATATTCAAGAATGAGTAGGAGTAATACTGATAGAAGATAGGTTGAGAGAGAATAGATTGAGATGGTTTGGGCATATACAACGAAGACTAATAGAGGCATTAGTGAAGAGATGTGATATAGTGACGGTAGATGAAAATGTTAGAGGAATGGGCAAATCTAGATTGACGTGGGTGAGTGTTGAACCTCTTTAATTTGACTAGCGAAATGGCCTTGGATAGAGTCGAGTAGAGAATAATGATTCATGTAGCAAATCTCATTTGATAGGACTTCAGGTTTGATTTGGTTTACTTGGGTGGTGTCCGCTTAGCACTTTTTTAAATCTAAATTTGCTTTACTAGGCCAAAAAAAACAAAAAAATACAAACTAAACTCTCATTTTCTCTTTCATTTATGTTGCGTATAGGATTGTGCTTCATTGTGTTACTCTAATTTTTTGTTCCTTCAAGAATTAAAGCTTAATGAAAGGGTGGACATGTGGTTAGATTCTATGTGGATTTGACTATGGAGGTGATTTAGAATGGTTATAAAGAAATCCGTTCAACTATTCGATTGATCTCAAAACCAGATTATATGGAAAATTTGATAAAGAAGATAAAATAAAAAAAATATCAAGAAGAACAAGAATAGAGAAAGAAGAAGAACAATGATCAAAACCCTAATCTCAAAACAATTATTAAAAAAAAAAAAAAAAAAAAATTTGCCTAATCTCAAAAACGGCCACATCCTGACTCAGTATTATTATTCTCAAAGCTAAAGATTACAACGTGAAGACTTAATATTTATAGGCTTGAAACCCTAATTTAAAATAAGAAATCCTAATAAAAAAGGAAACAAATATTAGTAGACTCCCAACTCAAATAAAGCTCTTCATTAACTATAATTTAAAAAGAAAATAAATAATACTATAATAATAAATACAAGAGAAATTCATAAAATCTCCATGCGTATGAACCCCCGTAGTTACTTTTGCGCTTAGGTTGGTCTGCACAATGGTATGGAAATACCCGACCAGCAGAGGACCGTATACAATATGTGGCATTCGCCTTTCCCTCAGACAGAAGAACAATGGATTTAACAGAACTGGACAACCAGGAAGTGAGACAAATGGCCTTTTAGTTTGTAAGAGGAGTTAATTTGAGCCCACTAAATTAATTAGGCCTAGTAGTCTAAGGTTGGTGGGCTTGAATTTATCGCAAGTCCAAGATTGGTGGGCCAAGATTTATTGCCATCAAACGGGCCGAATCGTTCTAAGCCTTGAAAGGGTTCGGATCCACGAACTTAGAGACTTACTCGGGCTCGGACTCGAAAGAGTTCGGATCCACGAACCCAGAGATCCGAAGCATTTGGCTTCGAACGGATTTAGACGCAATTTAGAAGCCACTCCATTAATGAGTCCCAGAACACTTGTGGCCTCGGAACTTTTCGGGATCTACGTACCAGAACCATGGGCGTTATGGAGTCCGAACAAAGGACCCGATCCTGAGGATGGTGAGTGGAGATAAATTCACTCTTCGGTTAAACTAGCTTATACCCGGGTCGAGGTGACACGACTTAGGGAGTCCCCGAGACTCGACAATATTTGCGGCAGGGCGTTCTCTTGAACTACCCCTGACCCTTCTGCGGCGTGGGGTCCTCTAGGACTACCTCGGCCCATTGGGATGATTGGGGATCATTGGTTAGGTGTGGCTAAGAAGAAGGGTTCACCCAGAGGTTGATCTCCTCTTCGGGATTTTTTATCATCCTCGGAGATGTCACCTCCTCGGACAAGGTAGTTAGAGAGAATATTCCTCATGTGCCTTGCACATGTGCTCCATCCTACATCATGAGGTGCCTATAAATAGCACCCACCCATACCTTTACAAGGGATGGATTTTGGAGAGATAATTCTTGGGAAAGAACTAATTTCCTTTCTCCATTATCAACCTTGAGAGTGAAAGTGGGAGATCCATGGGAGAGCCTTGCCATTATTCTCTCTCTAATTACTTTGCCTTCTTCTTCACCCAATCTCTTATCTCCATTATCTCTTTGCTTTTGTGTTCTTAGTTGTGATTATTGAAGAATCTAAGTCTCTCATCATTCTCTAAAGAATTTGAGTCTTCTTCAAAGATCTTCGAATTCTCCAACGACGTTCTTGAACCCTCTCATACATAGTTTTTTCTATATGGGTGTAGATTTAAGACATGATTTGTACCCTTCATGGGAACTCCGGTGTGTGACTAGCAAGGTTTTAAAAAGCGGCCGCAACCATTACGTAACGCCGTTACGTAACGGTTTTGGCGGTTACCGCCACCCGTTACGGCCGCTTTTGCAGTGTGATTGAGATTCACAGGTGTGTCGGCTGTAGCGGTTGCCGTAGTGGTTGTAACGGCGCTGTAACAATCGTAACGGCCTGTTACGCACCGTTACGTAACGGTTCCAAATTGTTTCTTTCGAAAAATACACAAAAAAAAACTGAAAATGGGAGAAGAGGGAGAGAAGAGGGAAGATAAAAAGAGAAAATGGAGAATCAAGAGATAGAGAGAGAGGAAGGAAAATGAAGAACATGTTATTGATTTGTTTAAGCTGTATGACCTATGCTATTCTATTCAACTGCTATCACTAAACCATTTTGTTTGTGTGTGTCTATCTAGATATATTGTTTGAAAATAATAATAATAATAATAATAATAATAATAATAATAATAATAATAAGAGTGGTCATTATCTATTTGGGTTGGTTAAAATATGTATATATATATATATATATTGGGGCTCTTATTTATTCTCTTACTTTTGTTACTATTTATCTTATATATAATAGTTAGTGATTGATTTTTTGTATAATATAAAGTCATTAATTATTAAAATAAAATGTAAAAAACTCAGTTTATAATGATTTTAAAATATAAAATATATTGAATCATACTTAAAAATTTACAAAAATTGATCAATATTTATTTTTAACCCAATAAATATGATCATAAAAAAAAAAATATGTGTATCGGTAAGTTTTTTTCAAATTGTGCGAAAAATAAAAAAATTCACGGTTCCGGTTACCGCAACCGTTACACTACAGCCTTTACACCCCGCAACCGCAACCGCGTCACCGCCACCGTTACAGCGACCGCAACCACTTTTCAGAACCTTGGTGACTAGTGTTCTAGCCTTGTTGCTCGAACATGATTGAAATTAATTTTAAAGTTGCAACTTTGGATTAAATGATGCGGGTGTATGATCAATTAGAACAGTTAAAGGCCTATAAAGATACCTTGCCTTGGTTTGTTTATTCATTTGTTTGATCTATGATGCAGGATAACCATTTTTCTTTGCTGCAACATGAGACGGAAAAACTTCGGATTGATATAGAGAATATGCGCACCGAACTAAGGTCTATTCATTGCAATGCAAACTATTTGTCTGCTCCATGTATGATTTTGTTTTTATTTATAGCAGGCTTCAATTTTCAAAGGTGAAATCAATTTTGATGCAGGTATGAAATTGACAAGGTCACTGCTGGTCAGCGTTTGGATTTGAATCTTGAAAGGGGGTAGGTAGAAAAAAAGTTTCTTATTTTCTGGCCATAACAGACTCTTGTTGCAGTTTATAGGCTTGTTTAGTGTAGTTTCTAGCAAACTAAAAGCTGTTAATTAGAAAATAGATGCTAAAAGTACATCTTCCCCAGCTTTTCAATAATTATTTTGTTTTAGCTATTTCTGCCTTATAAGCTGTAAAGCAGATGCTGCATCACAAATTTTCAAAGTAAAAAAGTTATACACAGCTCTATAAGCTGCACCAAACAGCCCCTATATATCTTACAGTGTCAGAATCTGAATTATATTGGCAATATTGTGTGCAGGAGAATACGGGATGAGCTAGCGAACCAGAATCAGCAAACCGCTAACCTCACTAATAAACTTGATCGAGTAAGTGTTGTTCTGCAGTTCTAATGTTGTTTTTGTTCTGTCAATGAGCTTGTTTCCTTTTTTTTGTTCTTTTCTTTTGAACTTTTCTTTTTCTTTCTTATCTAAATCTCAGGAAATTCATGCATTGAGGGCTCACTTGGAGGCGGCAAAATATGATGTGATAAAGTACTGCATAGGTACCCTTGTTTCTATCTCTGCTGTTGGTCTCGCTGTAGTCCGTATCTTGATGTAAACCTTGTTGAATTTCAAATTACTGGTAACATAACCCAAATGAAGAAACCAGGAAGGGAAGAAAGAAAAAGAAGAAGAAAAGAACTGTAATGTATATTTCCGAAAGGGAAAAGAAGGAAAATTGAAAGCAAATAAGTGCACATTCTCTTTTATTTTGTTTGGTGCACTTAATTTGCTCAATTGTGATCATGCCCTTTGAAATAAGAATACAATAAATTCCAATGAGATGTGTATTGTTGCCTCATTGAGTAGTCTACATGTGTATTGTTAATTTTTTGATTTGAGGTGTTAGAAAATGGCGAAGTGCAATACCATACTATTCCTAATTTGGTGTAGTTTCTGGCAAGTTAAATTTGATAATATAAATGCATAAACTAAAAAATGTTTTATCTCTTAGTTTATGTTTGGCAAGTTTAATAATCTTTTCTCAGGTTATGTTTGGCTCATGAATTAGAAATATAAATTGCATCAACTAGTTTCAAAATAAAAAGTTATAAGCACTTTCACAACTTACACCAAAGTGGGGCTTCCGGTTAGCAAACCAAAAAAGTTGCTTATTCATGGAAAAACAAAATTTACATTTCTCAAATATTTCCACTATTTTAAAAATAGTTTATACTGAAAGAAAATTGTTAAATCTACTGTCATTTTGGTTGTTGCATAGTTCCATTCCCACATAGTCCATCTGCAAGAAGACATTGTTACTAAAACCATTTTTGGCTATAATTGTGGACTTCACAATTTTCATAACAAAAATATTAAGCATGAAAATTGTCAATTATAGCACAATTAACAATGCCGACCCTGATTTTGTAAATTTAAAAATAAAAAAAAATTAAAAAAACCATGCCCACCTTGACAAATAAGACTTTACATCGACCTTATCTCCTGTTATTTGATGTAGCACATTGTTCAGAAAATAAGCAATAATTATTTCTCTTTTTAAGAGTTTATTTATAAATGAGTTAGTGATAAATAATTTACAATATATTAGAACAAACAAGCGTTTTTGTTTATTTATTTTATTTACAACATAATATATATTCTAATTTAGGAAAGTACATGACTCAAAATTCAGACCTTGTGTTAAAGGGCCTTATCAATACATTCAACAGTAGTAAATTATAAATAACATCCTTTGGATTCAGCCAAAATTGCTTTACCCAACCTACTAATTTGAATTCTATTTGAAAAAAACTAAGTCTGCGTTTGGCTGTGTTTTGTAAGGCCTCGTTTGGGAACTGACTAATTTAATAACTTTTTGGCTATTTGGTTAAAATATGAGCTAAAAAAACTAGTATGTTTGGGATGACTTTTTGGCTTTTTACGAAAAGATGTGCAAAAAGTAGAGAGAAAAGAGAATCTTTGACTTTTTGGTATGGGTTGTTGGCTTTTTGGCTAATTTAGTAATTTTTTGACTTTTTGGCTAAAAGGGAGGGTTCCCAAACGAGGCCTAAATGTGATTTGAGAGTATGAGTTGTATTTTGAGTTTGTGTGTTGTAGAATTATGATTTGAGTGCAGAAAATTTGTTTGGTAAAGAGTTTTGAAAATAGTTTTGGAAAAGAGGTTTGATTTGAGTGGGGAATTGTTGATGTGACATTTGATATGTTATACAAAAATTTACAACTCATAACTAAACATACAATTCAAAATTATTTTAAAGCACATAAAAAATTTAAAAATTTTCAGAAAATATTTTTCCCGATTATATAAATGAATTGCAAAAAAAAAAAAAAAAAAAATCTGTACAGCAGAGGACATCCGGGCGGATGTCCCTAGGGAAAAAAAAAAAAAAAAAAAAAAATCTGTACAGCAGAGGACATCCGGGCGGATGTCCCTAGGGATGTCCGGGAGGAAGACCCCATGGACATCCGGGCGGTCTTCCCTGAGGCAAAAAAATCACAAAAAACGTTGCTGATGCACAGAGCTCTCGACAGAGATTTTGAAAATTGATTCCAAACACTCAACCAAACATCATTCTGAAACACACCTGTAGAATTACATTTTCAATTCACAACCAAACAGAGCCTAAACTTCTTAAACATAGCAGCTGATTTTATGAGTTTTGGATAAGGGATTTTAGAATGAAGGGTATGGCTTCTGTCCAGTGGACCGTGCTGTTGGGCTCGTGGGGGCCCATCATGGGTCCTGTTTTGATAATCTGAACCGTTAATGTGTAGAATTCGTCGATTACTATATGTCTATAAAAAATCACGTTGATCGGATATCGATAGCTATATGATCAAATCAGTTTCGTATTAAAAAAATTGAGCAGTGAACAAATTAATAGTTGATAAAAAAACTATTTTGATCACATAGTTATCGATATCCGATCAACGTGATTTTTTACAGGCATATAGTACTCGACGATTTCTACATATTGAACGGTTCAGATTATCAAAACGGGACCCGTGGTGGATCCTCATGGGCCCAACAGCACGGTCTAGTCCGATCCCGGACTAGACAGAAGCCATACCCTAGAATGAATTTGTGGAGGGAAAAAAAAAGAAAAAAAAAAGTAAATAAAATGTAAATTAAATTTTGATCAAATTCTTGATTTAAGCATAGCTAGCCTTATGCTGTGTTTGGATTATAGATTTGGAAAGGGAAAAGAAATGAGACAATAATAGAAAAAAAAAAAAGAAAAAAAAAGAAGCTTGTATTCTAATAATAATAATATTTTCCTTACATTTTTTTTTTAATTTTCTAAAATTTTAATTCTTTGGATCACTGTGAATATAATCCAATTTCAATATGTCAAAAAGAAAGAGGAAAATGAGATGGTTTTGTTTTGACCATTTTTTAGTTTGAAAAATGCCAGATCCCTATCCTTACAAAGTAACGTGTGTGGACCATCAAACCCACCTTTGGGAAGTAGATCTTACTGCAACCAAAGTTGTCAATCATAATAGGAAAAAATTAAAATAAAGTTTTTAAGATCTGTTGAAAACGTGTGTTAAAAAATATATAAAAATATATTAAAATGTATGAAATTATTTTAAAATATATAAAAAATGTATTTATTTATTTATTTTTTTTACATTTATATTTAGTACTTTCTATTGATAACTCTTAACACTATTATTAGCAAGACCCATCATAATTAATGGATTTGGGTGGCTACTGTGGAGGTGCACAACAGATATTGTTGTGCAGTCAAATGGGTTTATTTTGAAGTTCATTTCGATAATTTGAACAATTCAAATTTTAGAATACATGTAAAAAATTAAGTTAATCGAATATTATTTATCCAATCATCCGCTCAAATTTATATTCATTTTAATACTTTAAATTACAATTGTTATTTATTTTTGTAGATACAAATATGAGTGGATAATAGGTAAACGATATTCGATTAACTTGATTTTTTACAAATATTTTTTACTTGATATATTTTAAAATATAAAAGATTCAAATTATCAAAATAAATCTATTTAACTGTACAATAATAACTGATGTACACCTACACACAATAGTCACCCCCACATTTATAATAAATTCTTTATCTTTGGACCACCATTACCGGTTTTTTTTTTTCGGTGGCTATCCTGGTTAATGTCATGATAATGTCATGATGATTTAAAGGAGTGGGGGTAGTGAGAAATATATTGACACTACGCAAATTTTAAAAAAAATAATTCGGGTACGTAATGTACACCGCATATAAAATTATTATAAAATTACGTAAATTTTTGTGAATTTACAAAAACGATCTTATAAAATTTACAAAATTACTTTTTGAAAATTGATTATTTTAATTGATTTTTTAATTTTTTATGAAACAATGTAGAGAATTTAAAGAAAGTGATGCGACAACTTATAGTAACTTTTTAACTATAAACCCAAGTCTCCAAACGCTTTTTGGGGTATCTCAAATAAGCTGTTTATTGACTTATTAACGTATTTTTATCACATTACCTCTCTGTTTCTCTACATCATTTTTCATAATAAATAAAAAAATAAGTATATCGAAAAGGCAGTGGCTTTGGTCCAGTTCAAGATCGGATTGGACCGTGCTGTTGGGCTCGTGAGGGCCCACCACGGGTCCCGTTTTGATAATCTGAACCGTTCAATGTGTAGAACTCGTCGAGTACTATATACTTGTAAAAAATCATGTTGATCGGATATCGATAGTTATGTGAACAAAATAGTTTTTTATCAACCGTTAATTTTTTCACCGTCTATTTTTTTTATACAAAACTGATTTGATCACATAGTTATTAATATCCGATCAACGTAATTTTTTATAGACATATAGTACTCGACGAGTTCTACATATCGAACAGTTCAGATTACCAAAACGGGCCCAAAAATAAATCTCATAAACCAGACTGGACGGATCCAACTTTGATCTCAACTTGAGATAAGCTAGACCCTATCGAAAAACACGTGGATTACAAAAGTTTTTTTTAAAAAAAAACAACAACAACAACAAGAGAGTATTAAAATCCAAATTTTATTTAAAAACAAATGGAGTCTTTGAATATCCACACAAAAAGACGAGAATAAAAAATTAAAATCCCACCTTTTCTTTTCCAATTATTCGCAGTTATTTCTTGCTACTTCCCTTCTTCAATATTAAAATTATAAAAAAATAAAAATAAAAAAGTCCACAAACCCCTCCATTGCACAGTCACTGTTATCTTTCGGGTCAATAAATCGAGCACAGCAGTCTCGGAGTCGGCACGGCAACGAGTCGGGTCGCTCTCGGAGCCGTGAGGCCGAAAACATCGCTCATGTCAAGCTCGCTCGGCTTCATCCCATCCGGTAACTCCCACGTAAAGCAATGGAGGAGATGAGCCACCGACATCTCAAGCCCGTAGAGTCCGAGCTGCATACCTGGACACGACCTCCGGCCCGACCCGAACGGTATGAACTCGAAGTTACTCCCTTTAAAGTCAGGCACATTCTCCTTCAAGAACCTCGAGGGCCTGAATGTATCCGGGTCGTCCCACGAGTTCGGGTCACGCCCGATGGCCCATGCGTTGATCATGACCCGAGATCTAGCCGGAATGTGGTAGCCGGAGATCTCAGCGTCCTCGGCGGTCTCGTGGAGGAGGAGAGGGATCGGAGGGTGGAGCCGGAGAGTCTCCTTCAAGGCGCACTTGAGATAGGTCAGCTTCTCGAAGTCGGATTCTTCGACCCGGCGATTGAGTCCGACTACGTCGGCGAGCTCTTGTTGGACCCGTTTGAGGTCTTCTGGGCTTTTCATTAGCTCCGTCATGGCCCACTCTATAGCTGAAGCAACAGTTTCTGTGCCTCCAAACATTACATCCTGATGACATCACCATTGACAATAATTAGAAAATATTCAAAAAAATAAAATAAAATATATGAATTAAATTTATTTTTAATTTAAATTTTTTTATAAAAATAATTCGTTAGCTGATTAGTAAGTTAGAATATTACTGCTGATTACAATCACTTGAATTAATCTCAAAGGTTGCTTGAATTTACTCCCAACATATTAAATTCATATTTATATTATATCTTATATTTTATATTTGGGTTCATAGTTCTTCCGTACTAACAAGGAGTTTTTCTTTCCTTAGACGTGTTTGAGTGTTTATCCATTAGGAATACGGTCTAAAAAGAAATATATTTTTAATCATAAGTATTTTAATTTAAAATGAAAAATGTACATGAGGTCACACAATGTTATACAAACTTTTTGTATATAAAACTCAGAAAGATGGCTTGTAGATATTTGATAAAAAAAAGTTCCCAATTATAACATTCGAATATATAACATTTTTGTTTGAAAAAAAGAACAAAATAAGCATTTAACTAACTAACTAATTACTCTAGTAGAACTATACAAAAAAAAAATAAAATTGTACCTTTTTTATTCATAAAGATGACAACTATTAGATTTGAAGAAATATCAATTAATTTGTTTAAGAATAAAATTGTCACATAATTTTGAATTAAAATTTTGTATGGTTGACTTTTTCTAATAATTTTTTTATGGCATGTCTTTATCTCAAAAGCCAATCCAAACAAGTGATAGGTACTTTCCTCCCTCTTTTCTTTTCATTTCCAAAAATAATATTTTTATTTTTATTTAAAATGAAGTGACAAATGTTAGTGCTGATCATTTTAACGTCAAATGAGTGGTATCATGGCATATAAACAAGACTCATATAATGGTTGGGTAGAAAATTAATTTTTGAAAAGTGAATAATATAATATTCTCACCAAGATTTAATAAATAGGTATAAAAAAATTAATATTTAATCAATCGCCTTTCCATTGCGGGTAAGATGTCATTAGTGAAAAAAAAAAAGGCGTTCACCAAAAATGCTATGAATAAAAAAATCAATAAAAAAAAATAATCATATATAAAAAAAATCTATATACACAATAATTTGAATGAGTTTTGAGCTTATTATTTAGAACAAAAAGGCCTATGAAAATGTCTTTAATTACACAAATGACACTGTATTCTGATATAAAAATTTTGGTAAACTAGTATTTTTCATAAATAAAAAGAAAAACAATAAAAAACAGTATGTGATCCAAATTTGACTCTAATTTATTGAAACCAACATTTAGAATTAATTTACATTATTCCTTGATATACACAAATAAAAATTGTGAGACCAAAATTTTTTTTTTTTTTTTTTTTTTTGACAAAAAAATAAAATGAATTAAAACAAAAAATAATTTGAAAAAGTGGTATTAAGCTCATAATACGACTTACTTATGGTATTGGAGACAAATATATATATATATATATATATATTGAGTGTATGAGTAATACTTTTTTTTATGTGATGTAATTAATAATTGAAAAATTACAAATAAAATGAGGTGTGTGAAGCCTGATATCGCCTGAGTATTAAAGTAATGGTAAGTCTGATATCGCCTGGGCATCCTTACCTTTAGAGTTAGCTTTCGGACTTGAGTTTTACCCAAGATCATGTAACACAATATTAAAACTCTAATTGAGAGAAGTCTTGGGTCCAAGTCTCTCTACTGACATTTTGATATTATATCCTGACTGATTTGTTGAATCCATTTTCTAATTGTTTAGGGTTTTGGAAAAAGTAATAACTTACCGCATGTGTTGTTGTGTGAACACGCTGGGCGTGAGGAAGTGAGGGCGCTCCCTTACTTCTTGAGCTAACTTTTGGAGGGTTAAATTATAACCTAAAACTATGTAAAAAGGTAAACAAAACTAATTTCTCATATCACTGAATCTTAAAAATAATTTAAAAAATAGATTTTTATATCATTTTCCTCCCCACAATCCAATCATATTGTGATCCCCACGACATGCTCATTTAATATTGATACAAGTATTTCGTTTTACCATTTTATTAATATTGTTTTTTTCAAAATGCATGAATTGAGTAATTATTCTGTATATATGGGATTAAATATATATAGCTGGACCCAAACACTTCGCTAAAAAAAAACAAAATTGAAAACCAACGAAAGTTGGAATTCAAAACCTTCCCACCACAGTTCTAAGAAAGCTGTCGAGTCGTTACTCGTGACTAGTTTAGTTGGACTGTGGTATGATTTGCTTTTTGACACCAACACCACAACCATTTTGGTGGCTTCTTGTAGTCTAGATTTGTTAAAGCAAATTTTCAGAAACAATTTTTAGCAGACTTTGACCCCGCTTGTCATCTTTTTATTTTCTTAATATTTTTCCAAGAACCAATCAATTCAGCAAAGAAAAATTATTTTACAAAAAAATTATACAGAATTTATGATAAAAATAATACAGTACTAATATTATCAAAAATATAAGTTATCTTGATGTATAATTTGTTTTAAAGATATAAAATAAATACTTGTCCTATTATTCTTTATAATTTTTTTTTATATATATATAATATTCAGCAAATTATTTGTTTTTGGCTTACCATGATGATGGCTTTGATATTATCTCTTGTGAGTCTAATAGCGTTTTGAAGATCATCCGATTCGGAGACTTTCGCTTCATCACCGTAAAAAGCTAGCAAATCATCCACCATATCGGTGTCGATCTCATCAGAACCGTTCGTTTTCTTGTTCTTCTGCATGTGCTCATCGATGATATTATCAATGAAGCCATCAAGCGAAGCACGAGCCTTAGTGAGTCTCTCATTGAGTCCCTGCGGGTCAACCCAGCCGAGCCAAGGAATAAAATCTGCAATATTAAAAGCACCAAACAGTTTGGAAAACTCCTGCAATATCGAGATAAACTCGTCCTGACCGTGTCGGGAGCTGGACCCGAACGCTGCTCGGTACGTAATGTTCCGAGTCAGTTCAAACACCAACTCGCCGATATTAATGGGTGAGTTGGTGTTGAGCATGACTTTTCGGACCACGAAGTCCACCTCGTCCCTCACGGACTCCCAGGACTCAGCCCGTTTACGGCTAAAAAGCTTGATGACGCAGAGCTTTCGCATCTGGCGCCAGAACGGGCCGTAGTGAGCGAAAGCCATGTCAGCGCGGTCGTAGGTGAGGTAGCGGATGGCGATGGTGGCGGGGCGGTTGGAGAAGATGCTGTCTTGGGCTTGGAGGACTTGTTGGGCGATGTCCGGCGACGAAACGGCCACCATGTGGAGAAAACCCATCCTCATGTGGAAGAGCCCGCCGTATTGTTTTGCCAGCTTGGCAAGTCCACGGTGGGTGAGCTGGTCCATCATGGTCATGTTTCCGATCAGCGGCAGGCCCGGTGGCCCCGGTGGAAATGGAAGTTTGCGACGGAGACGGGATAGAAGGAATAATGAGAGAGGTATGAGGAATAGGAATCCCATGGGCATGGTTTGCACAGCTTCAAGTATTGATGCCATTTCTATTGTGTTTATATATGTATGTGGCTGTGTTTGTTCTAGAAATGGCTCTGCAACTCAACTCTTGGGATGTTGGTGTTGCTGGGTTTTAATTCAACATGTTATGTGGGTTTATATACAAGTTTGCTTCTACTTCTAGTTTGCTCAAGTTGGTGTGTAAACTCCCTTGTCATATTTGTTTATTGAGAAATGAGAAATATTATTTAATATAAAAACAGATATTTTTTTTCCTCCTGTTTTGGTCACTAGCTTGGCTTTAACCGCGTTGTTTGTTACTTTTTGTGGGCCGACGGCGAGATAGAATTTGGTGTTTATAATAAAATAAAATTTTAATTTTATCAATTCAAATTTAAATTTAAATTTTTGTTTTGTTTCAATATGGACCACTTATCTATTTCGGTTGAGTCAAATTGATGGAAAAATAAATATTTTAGTCATTTAATTTAATAAAAAATATTTTATTCATGTATATCTAAATTGAGCTTAATTAATAAAATATTTTTTCATCCATTTTACTAAATGAAAATAGGTTGAGGGTTTATATTGAAAATAAATTAAAAAAATATTATAATTTAAATTGATAAAATTAAAAATTCAAGATTTATTTTATAATGAAATTCAAACTCTGAGTTGTTATAATTTTCCCTTTATGTTAATATTCATTCATTTTTAAATTTCTTTGTGTATATTACTTATAAAAAAAAATTGATTTATTTTGTTAAAAATTAGATTGATCCGATAATTGTAATATTTTTAATTTTAATTTGTTTTTCTAAAAAACAAGATGGTTTTTTTAAAAAAATAAATTTGTTGCCTATTTTTTTCAGAGACAAATTTAATAAAATAAAAATGTTACAATTACCGTGTTGACCTAATTTTTTTTAATAAATAATATACACAACTGGTCTTATAAAATAAATAGTAAAAATCATCAAAATAAAACTTGTGATGAATAGTTCTTTCAAGTTTAATTTTAAATTTAAATTTGAGAAAAGTTCAACTATTTTAAAACTACACTTGTAATTCATTTTTATTTTCAAAAGCAAATGTCAAAAATCGTGTGCCTATTATTATTAGTTCAATATAATTTTTTAAAATAAACATTTACAAAGATGTAGAGTAGTCTTAGAGACCTACAAATTGGACTTATAAATTTATCCAAAGTGATGTGGCAAGAAAAATAGGCCCCACACAATTGAGTAGATGACAAATCAAAAGTTAACATGTATCCTGCTACATCTTTATGGATCAAATTGTAAGAAATTTTTTTTGAGTTTTAAATATTTTCCTATAAATATTAATTTTGTCTAATATTAAAAAAATTGACAAAAAAATGTTTTATGGATACCATGTTCTAATTTTAGTATTTGAATCTTAATTAATTAATTTATTTTATTTTATTTTATTTTATTTTATTTTTTGGGGTTTTGAAGATTTAAATATTAGGGTAATACCAATGGGTTAGCTGGGTCTCGTTCACAATTTTTCATAAAAAACTAAAAAGTTATTTCTAACATAATAATTTTTTTATCTTATATTTTATCAAAAAATTAAAAGATTACTAAAATAGCATGTTTCCAAATGAGGTCTTGGGACATGGGGTGTGCTTCTTTCATGATTTCAAATTCGAAACTTTTTAATTGTGTCTCGCTAACGGATTGCGAAAATAATCTTTTTGGATTGAACTTATCTCTCATGTTGAGATCTCAACATGAGAGAACTTGAGGGGCCTATAAGGTCTATCATGGGTCCCGTTTTGAAAATCTGAACTGTTTATTTTATAAAGCCCTCAATATATATTATCCATGAAAAAAATTGGTTCGATCCATTTATCGTAGCTTTTTGTTTTTATCACATTTATGTCCGAAAAAATAGAAGACAAATATATTTTTGAAATATACCATCCATTTTTAGTGAAAAATATAATAAAATGAAAATGTTACGATTGTCGAATTTATTTAAATTTTTTCATGGATGATATACATTAAAGGTCCTACAAAATAGATGGTTCAGATCATCAAAACGAGACCCGTAATAAACCTTACAGGCCCCTCAAAATATCATGAAATGGTTCATGAAAATTCTTCATCCCTGGATTACACAAACAATAAAATACTACACACTAATCAAATGATGAAAAATTTTCATAAAGCATTTTATATTTTTTTTTTCATGATCCCTAATATTACTCTTCCACAAAATGAACGGTATATTTATAAATAAGTAATTAGTAATTCTTGGCCAATTAATTAAAAGTATACACGAGTGGTTAATTAAATTAATTATTTGTGATAGGTGTTATGTAAGTATACATTACGCCCAATAACAATTTTAGGAACTAAATTTTTTTATTTTTAAAAATGTAAATTTTATTGTAAAAAACTTAAAAGGCGCACCTCATTAAAAATTCGTTCTAAAAAGTAAAAAACAAAAGAAGACATTTATCAAAAAAAATTCTAAATATGTCGCTAGGACAAAATTTTTGATTTTATAATAATAATACTTTTGACACTTAAAATATTTCATTTCTAATAACACACTAATTGATATATATAATATTATTCTTTTGTTTTTAATTTTATTTTTATAACCTTAATTTATTGCTGTTATAATTGTTAGTATTATAATAAGAAGAAGATGTATTAGTCCCAATGTTGTATTAATGATTTATATAGTACTAGGGGTTAGATTTAAAGTGAAGCCACTTGTCAGCTACTTTTAAATGATTGGCTGTCACCAACTTTCATACGATTGACGGCACAACAAATGTTTTAGCCGTGGTTATCATTTTGGGTTAAAAAAATATAAAATAATAAAATAAATTAATAAGATAAAATATTATATTTAATTTATAATTATTATATTTTTTTTTACAAAAGTTAAAAAAATTAAAAAATTCAAATCAAACAAGGCTAAAAAATCAAACTAAAAAAATCTCCACACAAAAAAATTGACTATATTAACTAATGTAAAACGAAATTTTGATGAAAGTCATTTTTCAAAATTGCCATATATGACCTAAGTGAGAGAATGATATATCCTTTTTATTTATTTATTTATCAAAAAAAAAATTAGTAGTTAATTGTTATATTTTGACAAGTTAAATTGTTAGTCCTTTCTCGCAATTGTTTAAAGTCTTGCCTCATATTTTACTTTTTAAAAGAGAAGTTTAAGACCTTCCTTAAGAAAAGACTTGGTAACTAAAGGGATAACCACGCAAGTTTAAAATCTTTAATTGAGAGGATGATGTAGTTAGGGGTTATTTATTAATATTTGTTTTTATTTTTATTTGAAAATTAAACAAATGTTTTAGCCATGGTTATCATTTTGGGTTAAAAAAATATAAAATAATAAAATAAATTAAATAAGTTAATAAGATAAAATATTATGTCTAATTTATAATTATTATATTTTTTTTTCTTACAAAAGTCAAAAAATTCAAACCAAACAAGGCTAAAAAAACCAAACTAAAAAAATCTCAATACAAAAAAATTGACTATATTAATTAATGTCAAACGAAATTTTAGTGTAATCATTTTTCAAAATTGCCATGTATGACCTAAGTGAGATAATGATATACGCTTTTTATTTATTTATTTATCAAAAAAAAATTATTAGTTAATTCTTATATTTTGACAAGTTAAATTGTTAGTCCTTTCTCGCAATTGTTTAAATTCTTGCCTCATATTTTACTTTTTAAAAGAGAAGTTTAAGACCTTCCTTAAGAAAAAACTTGGTAACTAAAGGGGTAACCACACAAGTTAAAAATCTTTAATTGAGAGGATGATGTAGTTGGGGGTTATTTATTAATATTTGTTTTTATTTTTATTTGAAAATTAAAAAAAATTAATTAATTTTCATAAAAATATATTTAATTCCAAAACTTTTGAAAAATAAAGTATAATTTTTTATTTTAAAATAATTTATGTTTATTTTATAACACTTGTTTTTACATGATATTAAGGGTGGTTTGGGATGATTTAAATAATTATATTTTTTGACTTTTTATAAAATATGGGTTGGATATGAGTTGTGTTTGAAGTGATGTAAGTGATGTGACTTAAATAAGAGAGTGACTTTTTAACTTTTTTACTTTTTTAAGTTATGACAAACAAAGTCTAAGATGATGAATGATGGTAAGACCATCTCCAACAGTGAACCAAACTTGGCATCAAATTTAAATTTTAGTGAAAAAAGTACTTTTTGGTGCTCCAACCGTTTCACCAAATTGATATCAAAATGAGAATTTAACAAAAAAATCATCAAACTGAGAATAAGCTGCAGATTTTACCAAATTACTGTTCTTGACCGTTGGAAGAGCTGAACCGGTCAACCAGCTGGTTGCCCGGTCGGTTGACCAACCGATCCACTGGTTCCCCTACAAAAATTTTGGTTCAAACAGGTCAAAAGGTTCAAAGAGGTAAAAAAAAAATGCCTTACCGGTCGACTGACCGTTCGGTTTTGATGTCCACCATTGGAGCAATAGATATCAAAATGAGAAAATGGGTCTTTTTTAACTCAAATTTGGTGAAAAATTTGGTAAACGATTGGAGATGCTTTAATAAGAAGGAAAGAGTCAATCGTGAGGGCAATTGAATATGAAAAAAATACTTAGGCTTCGTTTGGGAAGCCAAAAGCCAGGCTTTTTTTGGCTATTTTAGTCACAAAAAATAAAATAAGTTTTTTAATCCAATAAGACAAAATATCACATCCAACCCATAATCATTATATTTTTTCTCTCACAAAAAAGTCAAAAAAGCCAAAAACCCTTTACAAACCAGACTTTTTAGTCCCAGACTAAAGTAGTCAAAAAAATTAAAAAGTCAACCAACTTCCCAAACGAATCCTTAACAACGAGAACAAGCCCACTCTTTTTCTTGGATTATTTTTGTATGTAAACAGAGATGCAATCATGATTTCATCGTTGGAGGAGTGAAAAATCACATACAAAAATATACATGCATGTACGATATGATATATATAAATTATATACATACACATAGAAAAAAAAGAGTATAAATATCATAAAAGTAATCTCTAATAAGATAAAAATGCTTTCTTAGTATAAAATAAAAAGAGAATGTAAAATGAGAAAAGAATGAGACATTTTTT